GGAAATACATTTCTGGAGGGCTCTAAAAATGCAATTCAGAAAGTCACTGAGCCAAAGGAGGAAAATAAAATTTGAGCGTACCATGGAAACTGGCATTATTTCACAGAACCAGTGGAAGCCACAACCCTGGTTACCTCTCTCACTAAGAAATCAGATTAAATCAGGGAGCCCTGGTAATTCAATAATGAACCCCCATGATGGGAAGGCAGTGTAATTTACAGCATTTCAGTAGGTCCAGGAGAATCTCTGCTACCTCTTGCTGTGAGAACTTTAACTAATGAAAGTGAGGCCCTACATACATAGCTGAATGGATTGATTTTGTTTGTTTGTTTGTTTGTTTTTTGGTTTTTTTTTGCCCAAGAGGTCATCTGCAGGCCACACAGTATTTTTTTTTTCTGCTAAGGAATATGAAATAATTGCTCTCTAACCTGTGTTTTTGCAAAGCAGTTCTTCATGAAGCCCACGTACTTTTTGCTTTGCATAGTACAAGATGGGTAACATACTTAGTTTAGGCTTTCATTTAGAATAAAGAGACTAGAGGAGATGGAGGCTGGCATGTGGCTTAATATACAGAATGGAAGAAAAGGACCAGTCATTACTTTTCTTGCTTCTTCAGGAGGGAACCCACCAACTAGTTGAAAGTGGAAGGTATGACACAAAGGAAGACTTCACAGTGGTTGTGCAGCCATTTCTGGAAAAAGTGTCAATGCCCAAGACCAAGGTAAGAATAACAAACCAAACTCAGACCTGGTGAACCTTTGCTGAATCACTAGAATTGCATCTTGCTTATATCTGCTGAAGCAGCAGCTCTGGTTACCTGTCCTGGGAAATCAGATAGAGTCAAAGAGCCCTGGTAATTCAAGAGCAAACCCCAGTGACAGGAGGTCAGTGTAACAGAAAGGATTCCAGTGCTTCAGGGAGAGTCTCTGGTGTCTCTTGCACTGGGGACTTTGGCCATCAGGACTCTGCTATGTTAATTTGTCCAACATTTAAGCTTCAATTGAGCCTAGATCTAGAATGACCAGAAATGCTTTTGAAGGGGGGAGAGATCATGGGTAATATTACTGAGGGCCTACTTAACCCTGGTCAGTGACTCAGCAAATGGGATAAATCATAAGGCTGTAAATCATATTTCTAAAAACTCCACGCATCTTTTCATTCCCCAGGTCAGCAGCTTGATCTGATCTATGTTGGTAACAGTGTTGGTTTTGGAGGCCTTCCTGGCTGCTTTTAAATTCTAGGGTAACTGGGAGTTTTAGTTGGGAGAGGAATGTGATAATGCATTGTTGTGCCAATGTTTTTGGTCCTATTCTTACCCCTCTTGTGACAGCAGGTGTCTCTTTCCTTAGGAAGGATTGCCTGATGCCTCATTTTTTGCCCCAGACTGTTTCCACTTCCACCAAAAGGCTCATTCTCAGGCTGCCCGTGCCTTGTGGAACAACATGGTAAGACCATGGAAAGCACATCAGTCCCTATCCTGTCCTTTAGCAGCAAAGCACAATGAGCCACCACGAAGACAGTTCTAGCTCTGCTGAAAATGGAACTGGGTTCTAAAGGGGAAACAATGTTTATTTGTAGTAAATTTACCTGAACACAAACCAACTCTATTAAAAGATTGTATCCCAGGATCTGTTAAGGCTGAGTATATTCAGAAGATAATCAAAGTGCCAGGTTTTGCATTATTCTTACCACTCGCCTTACACATATCATAGAAATTCATCACTTTATATGTAAACTGTAATTTAAAGCAGTGATTCTCAACCAGGAGGCTGCAGGTACCTTGGGATCTTTTCAAGGGTGCCTCACGGTGCTATGCAATGTTATCACTGTTAGGTTTTCAAAGAGGATTCATAAGATAAACCCAGAGATTTCAAGTAGGAATACATATACAGGCAGTCCTCGACTTACAACATTTCGAGTTACAACATTTCACACTTACGTTTCTAAATTGACACCCTGTTTCAACTTTCTGACGTCAGTTTCAACTTTACAACCCTTGATCTGATGTGATGCCATACCAGCGAAGAAGTTCGCTGTGTCACCCATCTCCCTGGAGAACATCTGTCCAAACCTCCTTGGACGTTTTCTTTAAGAAAGCAGACAAGACTCCAGAAAACCCTGCAGCCAAGACTCCTGAGAAGACTCCAGCCAAGAACCCTTCAAAAAGTCCAACCAAGAGCCCTTAAAAAGTCCAGCAAAGTCAACTCAAAGAAGTCCTTCCAAATCAATATGATTGATATTTACAATATAAATACATTTATGTAGCTATATTACTCATCTATAATTGATCAAGTACAAAATCCTGGGGTATTTTTCATGAAAATAGGGTATCGGGCCTTGGTTCAGAAACCAATCCCCCATTTATAACATTGTTTCTTATGAGAAAGTTGGTTCCGAGTTACAATGTTTCAACTTAAGATGTGGTTTTCAGGAACCAATTGTGTCGTAAGTCTGAGGACTGCCTATAATGTTAAATACATTCTCACCTGTTGTGGGTTTTCTGAGTTCTTTGCAGCAGAAAAATGGCTCTAATATTTTTCCATAGTCAAAACATGAGTGAAAACTAAGCGCTAGCATTTTCTGAGGGGTGCCTGGAATCTAAGTGTTGAGAAACACTGCTTTAAAGGCAAGATTCTTTAGATGGATGTTTCTGTGGGTAAAAGGGGTGATTAATATACATGCAATGCACAGCAACGTTCCTGGAGTTCTTACGGGGATAGTTCATGAAAGCTGATAATAAACAGCTCCTTGTGCTTTTCCATATCAGCACTCATCATTTCCTTTGTCCCCTTTTTCCTTTCTGGGGTGCAGCTAGAATCCCATGGAGAGAAGACGGATGCACAGGCTCTTGAAGAAGTGATAACCCTCAAATGTCCAAGCCGGGTATATGTGCAACATTACATTACTGTGGTTTGTGTAACAGCGCATTGTTGTGGTTTGCATCCCCACAAGGTGCTCTGGTACAGTGAATGATAGAGTGGCATTTCTGCTACCTCCGGATAGTTACCAGATACTCCATGTCCTTTCCCCTTCCCTACCTTTTTGTTTATAGTTAGCACCAACAGGGATGTGCATAATTTCCAGTGATATTCTGGCTGGCCTCTTCTCAGGACTGCAAGAAGGAGGAAACCTCCTTGCTTATTTGCCTTGTATCCCTACACACAAGGCCTGGTTCTAGTACAGCTGGGAATTGGGCCTGCATAGCCAGACCAGCTTAGTTTCACTCTCCAAACTGAGTGAAATATGAAACACAAACAGCATCAATGGAGAGTGAAAAATGAAAGGCCAGTGCTTAGGCTGGTAAGAGTCAGTATAACTCTGCTGAATTCAGTAGAGCTTCTTTGATGATTGCTAGCTGAGGATAGTCACCAGCTGTTCAATGCCTTTGGCCCAAATAATCAGAGATGCTATTAGTCAAACAGGTAAAGACACTGAAAGTGTCCTTTAGCTGTTTACTTTATGAAGATGGTACTAGAGCATTGCTTGGATATTTTAGATGTTTGGATTTTAGATTTGCATGCTGCAAAGCTTGTTGGAGAGCAGCAGAGCCCCTTGTAGTTCTTGAGAATAAGTGATTGCTTTCAATTTTTATGTGACTGGATTGAGGCCTAGTGAATGGAAAGCTCCAAACATTCTTCTGCAGCTTTGCATTGACTCAGATTTCCATATTGCATAGGCTCAGCCATTTCTGAAGACCTACAAGAACAGTAATATTACATACTCCAATGAAACGACACCACCACTGCCTTCAGCTGCTCCCCCAGGGCAGAGACCAGATGAGGTACAGTTTGCACAATATATGAAATTGGTCACTGGAGGAGCCTCCTAAATTGGCGACCAGTTTAGGAGGCTGTGAGCTGTACATTGCAAAAAAGTCTCTCAAACTTTTCACAATGCTTGCATAATAAACTGCAGTTGCACATATTTTGCAATGCTGCTGTCAAGACCAAGAATCATTTTTATGTGTGACAAATTGATTTCCATGACCAAGGTCTGTCTGATGTATTACAGGCTAACAGGGATATGTTTTACTCAGCTGGCCTCCTCCTGGAGGACAGCTAATTGACACTTTTCTACATGTCTGTGGCTAAGATTATTCAGGTTCTTTCACCTTTCCCCTATTCCTTTAGAATCATGGAAGCCAGCTGCTATGTGAGGGCCAGGCTCCTTCCATCTCTTATCCCACTTCAGGTAGGCTGACCTGTTTGGTCTCAGAGACTTTTTCTTTCAACTGCACTTTAAGGGAAGTTTTATTTTTTTGTATTTAAGTAATTCCTGAAATGTGAAAAGGTTTACATCCAGCAAAGTTATCACTTTCTATTAAGGAAGTGATGCCAAAACCATGCTTGTAGGTAATCTTCCAAGAGAGCCTAAATTCCTGCAATATCTAAAATTTCCAGGATGTGGAAACCCTTAAATGGTATCATCTGTGCTTGAGGACAATGGGTTGGGAGCCTGGCCTTCTCTGGGTTCTACTTTGATACCTAGTAGTGTTTACTTTTTAATGAACACATGCTCTTTTTTGCAATCCTGTTCTTGCAGCATTTAGTACCATCATTC